AAAAGCTCGCACAGAATTGAAAAAATGATTTCACTTCACTTTCATTCAACTTGGCATTTTTTAAATATAGTCTTGTTTCCGCACCAATCACTAAATTTTCATTTTCTTTTTGTTTACTATACTTCTGAAATGGAATAGACGTTAGAGTAACATCTTCATTTTCTTTAGAAATTACTGATGGTTTTACGAATCTAACAAATAAATTCATTAAAAGTTCAAAAAGTTCTCTTCTCAATTTATGTATATAAGGAGCTTGTTGTTGCAAATTAATATTTACTGTTATAACAAAGGCAAAGTATTTTTCAAAAATAACAAGTACAATTTGGTGGTCGGTGACTGTAAAATTTTTTTAATGTTTTGCAATCTCTTTCCTTCATTCTCACTGTTATCTGGTTTATCTCCAAAAAAATTTATCACAGCATCCCACTGTTCCAAAATCCTTGTTATAGATTCTAAAAGAGACAACCATCTCGTACTGCAATATTTCAAAATTTTATGAGATTTTGCATTCTGTCCCAAAATTTGTTGAGCAACTTTGAAGCTATGCTTCCGTTTCGAACTTTTCTCCAAGTAAAAAATATATATCTATTATCAACATTTCAATTTCTGAGCCAATTAATTTTTCAGTAGCTTTTTTTGCAGCTATATGCAAGAGGTGGCACGGACAACCTCGGGTGATTATACTTGGTTGATGCATTTTGATAAATGATGCTACACCTTTAAACTTTCCAATCATATTACTAGCATTATCTGAAGAAAATGATAAGCAATTTTTCCATTCTAAACCTTTGTTTTTAAAGTTTTCATTTATACAATTAAAAATACCTTCTCCTGTATTATTCGTGCATTCTAAAATAGAAATCAATGAAGTAATTATCACTCCCTTTTCTTTACTGTAGTATGTTATAACCAATGGGTACAGTTTGTTATCATTGTTATCATTACTTCCATCAGTACTTAGAGAAAATGATGTACTGCACACTGATTTTATAATATCAGCAACAGTATTTTCTGCAAGCGTTTTTCACAATAGCAGCAGTTTTGGTATGACCACAGCTAAATTTTTTTGCTATGGCAGAATCCGGAAACATTGCTTTGAAAAGCTCTTTGGAATGATCCGAAACAGAAAGCGGTAGATTATGTTCAATTAAAAAAAAAACGAACAAAATAGCATTCGGCTTTTATAGGATCTGTTTCATCATCTTTTATTAAGAAATTTGTTATTTCTTTAGATTTTACGGTGCCAAGTTCTATATGCTTTTGAGAAAACACATGCCGTTTCACAGTCATCTTTTCCGCCATGAGCAACTGAGAAGTCTTTGTTGCATACACTGCAGTGTGCGTGATTCACAGAAATTTCGGACGCTTTAATGCATGGAAATTCTGAAGAATATGAATCTTTAAACTTCTGCTTTGATAATTTTGGCTTCTTCGTTCGAGGCGAGCAGCATTATGATTAAAAATCTTTCACCTGATTCACAGTTCACAAGACACACGCTAAGCTCTCGCCGTAACGTAAACTACACAATGCAGCCGAATGCAGCCTAAACACGCATCAGCGAGGAACGAGGAACCTGGGAGACAGACAATTGGGTGGAACTATTGATAAGTCGTTAACGGTTGGAGTTACTGATCTACGATTGGCTAATTCTTCAAAACTAGGAACGCACTCAACACGTGATATATGATAACACGAGTATTCAGCCAATCATCGGAATGAAGTTGGTTCCGTTGTACTGCGTACTGGTTCTCCTGCTCTTGTTTCTGTAAAATCCGTAGTTTTTTCCATACTTTTCGTAGCTCGTAGTTTTTCATGAATTTCCGTAGAAACTACGGAGAATCCGTAGTAGTTGGAGTCTATGTGTCTTACACTCCAAAAACCTCAGCTTAAAAACTGTGATTTGCATTCTGGTGAGGATATAGATATGGGAAATTATATAAAGGCTGATATTATAAGCAACTGGGTAATTACATAATAACTGTACATAACTTTGAAGAATAATTTTCTTTCTCTTCATGTATTCAGTTTTTCTTTAACACATTTTATGTCCATTTGAGAATTTTTGGATTTTATTAAAGACTTCTGTTATTCTAAAAAAAAAAAAAAAAAAAAAAAACTAAATGCATTTAGAAAAAGCTGTTAATTTTACTTCTTTAGTAATATGAAAATTCAGAAGAAATGTGAAATACATATATGGTAAGGGCTAGTTACAGAGCTGGTGTGTCAGAATTTTTAGAATTAAGTGATACACTGAGAACAAAATCTAGAAATGGCAAAACTTTTAGAATTTACAGCAGGCATTGAAAGCAGAATTTAGAAATGCACTAAGCAGCAGGATTTAGGATCCACAGAGATTGTGTTAGGTAAGAAAATGCCTAGCACCAGCCCTGTGTATGATGCATGAAGACACACTATATGAACCTTTTAAATTGTCAATTTACAATTTCTTTATTAATAAATAAATTCCTTTCTTTAATGCCTGTCCATGTGATAAGATTAGAAGCATTTTTGATATTTTCCATGCTTGTGTCTAGTGAAAAGTAAGGAAAATAAAGGGAAAATAAACATGTTAAGAAAAAGATTCTAGTCTCAGATTAAATCACCCAAATATTATGTTTTCATTGTTCTTCCAAATGTTCTCCAAAAAGTAAGAAATTTATCGCAAACTTTCTGCAAAATACATCCATTATGTGTTAATACCATGGAGACATTTTTCATTTTGTCACGTTTTTCTGGAATCTTTTAGAATCATGAGTCTATAAATCTTTCCTTCAAATCCTTCTAAACTTTCCAACCGCAATATCTAAAATCCTAAAGAAAAATTATCCCTACCAGTTCTGTAACAGCAAAAAGCCAGAAATATTGTCGGGAAAAAAAATATGAAGGGAAAGTGTAAAATTAATTTTATATAGAAAACTGATGCATAATCTGAGAATTCTGAATATGCTGAGACAATTACATGGGGAAAACTCTTACCTTGAAAAAGTTAAAAAGAAAACATTTGGTTAGAGTAGATTTAAGGGTGCCCCTTGCATTATTGCTAAGTTGCTGTTTCATTTATGGTAACCTGTGTAGTTGAATGTTATGGAAACCCTATTATAACGTAATTGGTTGCATGACTGCAGTCAATTAGAATTGTGGGAAAAGATTTGGAAAGTATGTGTGGCATTTTAGGTAAGAAGTATGTTGCTATTTTGTGGTTTACACAGTAAAATGGCTGAATAAGATTAATTTGAAGTTTCTGTATGATTTGGAATGAAAATTAAAAAAACATTAATTGACTAATGCATAAATGAAAGTTTACTTAGTAACCATTATTAAGTGTCCTGTTTGTAGGAAGGACACGTGTATGGTTGAACGTCGGATGATATAGTGGCACTGTGAAAGATATAGTGGCGACACCATTATACAGATTCTAGTTCAGATAATTTTAGGAAGTTTTTGGATGTTGTTAAGGAATTTTGTTTGACAAAAGACACGAAAATTCATAAATAAGGTAAGTGGATATTTCCTACGGTTAGTACTAAGATTAATTTCTTTTTTTATGTTATTTCATTGTTTGATTTAAAATGTATTTTATTGAGATTATATATATTTTGCTGGCTGCTCTTTTTGACTTTTTACTTGAATATAGATCGATGTGTATGTTGACAAAGTCCAGGGAGTGTGCAACGCCAGGTTTGTGCAATTCTCTGATATTTGTTTCAAGTGAAAATAGGTTGATGCATGGTGGCGATTTTTTGCCGCTACACAAAGCCAAAATAACAAGTCAAAGAATTGCACAAACTCTGTGTCCATGTACAGCCAAATTCGCCAAGGGGCATCCGTAAATATATTTTTACCAAACATTTTAATTAATTACATAGCTATTTTGCTTTTGCTAAGAACTGTTTCATTAATTGTGCTTAAAAAAAAAAAAAAAAAAAAAAAAAAAAAGATAGCATCATACATCTTTTTTTTTTTTTTTTTTTTTTTTTTTCCAGATTCAAAATATTGTATAATAAGTGACAAAAATGGAACTTTAGAATATGACAGCGAGAAAAAAAAAAAAAAAAAAAAAAGTTGAAAACTTTGCAGATCTTGGAATTAAAGATTTTCTTCAGAAACTGATCTTAAAATCTTCAAATTTAGAACTGTTTAATAAAAGAATTTACACCCCCAAAAATGAACAGTTGTTTAAGAACTCTTTGTTAGAAAAAATGAAATAATTTGCAAATGCTTATGTTTGACTCCTTACTCAAAAACTCCAATATCCCAACATTTATATTAGAAATTGGAACAAATAACCCATTCACCCATTCAAAAGATTATCTTATTTGACAGTGAATCGCTAAATATATTCCTCCAAAATGCTAATTCACACTCAAAATGGCAGTCATAAAAACAGATAGAAATTTTAGACAATTACAATTAAGGAACTTCTGGGGATTTGGGCCGAAATTAAGGACTTTTAAGGATCAATAATAGATTCCAAAAAGCCTAAGGGCTATTAAGGACCATACGAACCCTGGTTACAATTAAAAAAACCCCAAAATGCATGGCAGGTGCAGAATGGAAAGCGCCATTTTATATTCCTCTTTGTAACATCTTTATTACTTTAAAGAAAAGAATGCAAAATAAATAGATACTGAAAAACAATAAAATACCACAAAATGTAATAAAATACTTTTAATGGATATTTTACAGGATAAAAGTTAGGATTATGGCAGATTGCTTTAGAATTTGTAATACAATTGGCAAAAATATAAACATTTCATTAAATGTAAAAAATGTATTCTTTTTTTTTTTAACAAATATAATTTAATTAACATATTGCAAGACCTAAATATATTCAATCATAAAATGCAGCAAAAAATTTACTTACGATCAAATTTTTAAGAACGTGCTGAAGATGTATTCTGAAGTTGTATTCTAAAGATGTATTCTGAAGTTGTAAAAAATCAACCGAAAATTTATACCTTTATAAGTTAATGGATTCATAATAAAAGACAATGTTTACCTGAGAACCAGCATATGATGTACTTTGATTCACAACTACTTTATGTATTTTGCCAAATTTTCCAAAATAATCATATTTCTTTAGGACTTCTGCATCTGCTAGCCTTGCTGGCAGACCAACAACAAATACTAGATTTTTCTGTACAACCCTGCAAGAAATATAATTAATTGTATGTCCTTTATTTAAATAAAAACTATAATTCTAGGTTAATGTCAAATGTAACATGTATGAAGAACTATGTACAATACAAGGAACTCCTAGTCTTCAAGGGGCATGTGAATAATTACTTTTAATTACTTAACCATTACTACCCAATGAAATTTAGATCTGCTTCCAATTCTTTTTAACTGTAAATGACTAGCAAACTGAATGCAAAACATTCTGTAACATATTATTCCATTTAAACCCACATAAAAGATTTTTTTAAAAAAAAAAGTTGAATTTAATGCATTATTGCAGCATTTAATCACTTTTAACAAGATTACTCATGCATGACAAAATAAATATTTCATACAACAAAAACTTCTCAAAGCACATGAATGGAAAGTTAAAAGATTGCATGAAAATATGTTTAAGTTACCAAAAATCTACATATCAACAGGGGAATAATTTAAAAAGACAATGAGATAATCATAAAACATCAAAACAATTACAGAATAGTGAATGTGAATTAAAACTGTTTACAAACATGTGAATCACAAAATATATGCAAGAAAAGCAAACAGATATATACACTCTTTTGCAAAAAAAAAAAAAAAAAAAAAAAAAAAAAAAAAAAAATTGAAGCACCAAGGACTTTTGCAATTGTGACAAAATTTGGTATGCAAAAACATCTTGATCAAACATGCAAATGATCAAGGTTTCAAGAATTGTGATAATAGTGCGCATTTCTAGTGTGCAATTCGCAAAGTATAAAACCAGTAACAGAGGTGGAAAATTTATCTTTTCTTGTTGCTGCCATTGTAATTCCGCAAAAAAGCAACTGAAGATGCCATTACGATGATATCGAAGACCTTACAGACAACTAAACGACTTCGAACATGGTCGCATTGTAAAGTTGCGTGAAGCTGGGTGGTCATATCGAGCAATAGGCCGCCACTTGCAGCGTACAGACACTGCTGTGCAAAGATGTTGGCAGCAATGGTTGCTACAACAAAATTGCCGAAAAAATGAAGGCTCTGGAACACCAAGGATGACAAATGCGAGGCAAGATAGTACGATTGTTCGCCAGGCCTGAAACACCCCAACAGTATCATTGTCGACTATTCAACGCACTACAGCCACGTCTATACCTCCTGTGGTACCATCCATCTCACAGCACTTGTCTGAGGAGGGGTCACACACACAGAGGCCTTTAAGACATTTGCCTTTTTCCCTACAACATCGACAGAGTCGTCTGGAATGGTGTCGCAGCCGATTATCATGGCTGCCATCAGACTGGCATTGTATAGTGTTCAGCGATGAATCCCGCTTCCCTTTTGAAGCAGATGATCACTGTGTTCGTGTCTGGAGAAGATGGGATCAGCAATCCCAATCAGCCTTTGTTTTACAAAGGCATACAGCCATAACCCCTTGTGTGATGGCGTGTGGCGCTATTTCTTATGACAGGAGGTCATCTTTAGTCATCTTCCATACATCTTTAACAGCTCAACGATATGTTGATACCATCCTGTGCGCAGTTGCATTACCCTTCATGACACGTCATCCTGGGGTCATTTCCCAGCAAGATAATGCCAGATAACATACCACTTGCATATATGTCTGGACTGTCTCCGTGAGGTTGATACTCTTCCTCGTCCAGAAAGCTCAACTGACCTTTTACCAATTGAGCATGTCTGGGACATAGTTGGGACATAGTAGGCCGCCAGATTCAGGCACCACAAAATATTGCAGATCTGTAGCGACAACTGTTGAATGCCTGGCAGAATGTGTCACAGGATGACATTAGTAACCTCTACCACTCCTTGCCTCAATGAATTCAAGCATGCATTGACGCCAGGGGCAGTTCAACCAACTACTAATTTGAACACTCAATGGGTGATTGTCAGCCGTGAACAGGTACCATGACCCCTTTTTTTTTTTAATTATTTTATTATCTGTGTAATTCAATTTCATCCAAAACAACCACTTCCTTCATGGTGCTTCTATTTTTTTTTGCAAAAGAGTGTATAATGGTATTAGAGGTGTGAAAATATATTTTGAATTCTCTGCATAGAAATAACATGATACTTAAACTCAATCTGTTTCTTATACATTTTCCATGAAATAAAAGTCTGCAGAATGGGGATAGAACATGAAATTCAAATTTTTTTTTCTAATTGTGGGCACTTGCCTATGCCAGCATCGGCTACTCTTAAGGCCAGATGTGGTGGTCTCTTTATTATGGAGGCACCTAATAGGTAGGCCACCTTTGCCACCTATGAAAAGACAGACAATTTTTACATCCATGCCGTCTCCGGGATTCAAACCCGGGCCCTTCGGTATCGCAGTCAGGCTCCCCTAAACCACTATACCATCTGGGTGGCATGAAATTTAATATAACAATAAAGTTTTTAAACATAAGTATTTTTTAAAGTTTAAGATATAATATACATCGATAAATAATATTTAACAAAATAATATAATTTTTTTACTTGAATCATTAAATATTTTATGCTATATTTTATCTTTTAATTTAACAATTAACTGTTTTATACTTTTATTTGAAGGCATATATTTGGTTCAAAATAAATGAAAAAATAATTAGAAGTTTAAAATTTCTGCCAGTTATCAGCTGTTTAGTAAAACTTTCAACACTTGAAAATATCAATAAAAAAAATTTCTTTGCATATTAGCACAATACTTATTTAACTGCCATTTTCCCACCCTTCAAAGTTAAGAGTTCATGCCTAAGACATAAGTATATATAAATGTAAGTTTCACTTTACATTTATATATAGTATGTCTTAGGCATGAAACTTTAAACATATGATACATACCAATACCTAAATCAAGTTTTTATAGATAAAACAGAGAATTTACACAGCATACCATACTATAAATCAGTTGTCTACTTCAAATGCTCTCTACATACAGGAAAATGAGCCATAAATTTTAAATAGTAAGAATGATTTTTTATTTTAATGTTGCAGATATTTACACAGCCATATAAAACATTCTTCGTGAAACAATTTTTTTCCAGCCAATTAATATAAATGTTCTTAATTTATTCTAAAAGTAAGATTTATTATTTTTAAAATCTCAGAATTATTAATTTAACTCTGTCTTTTTTACCAAAAAACCAGAATATTCTAACTTCTTTAAATTTTTAATGATAATTTAATATGAATTGACTTTAACTGGAAAACATTCTCTCTAGATAACCAAAAACTCATATTGAATACTTAATGCGAAAGTAACATAATGAAACTGTCATTATGTTACTTACATAATGACATAATGATTCTATAATTTCAAGATATGCTATTTTGATACAATACCTTCCTGCTGCAGGTCATGTAATTCATTTATTATAGGATGTTTTTCTCTTATAACTTTATTTAATAACTTGATTTGTTATTTAAAAACACATACATAATTCCTAGTTATTAGCCATTTTAATTTCCAGCATTCTTTTTATTATTCCTTTTTTTTTTTTGTGATGTGCAAAAAAATCTGTTACGGACTTCATGTTTTGGAAAGTTTAAGCAAAAATCCATTTATTTAAGTATTATCTTTACTCAATCTTTCAAAAGGATAAGCTGTTTGTTTCAGCAATAATGTAGTTATATTTTCTGAAGTAAAACAGCAGTGCAAAGCCCTTTTTTAAAACCCATATTATTATGCTGCAAACACCATATGATCAGTATATGTGACAATTAGCTTAAAAAAGCAACACAAAAAATAAACAAATTCATACAATACTAATGCCCAAAATATTTTTGTACCTTTATGTTTTGCCGGCACAAATCTCGCCAAGCAGACTTCATTAACGACAACATACAGCACACACATAACAAATGTTAGATGTGTATGTTGTATGCTAAGATTTTTTTTTTTATTTTGAAGACATACACATTTTAATGTTTAAAACTGTAAAAAGCCAATAAATTTGTAAAAAAGCATTTTAATTTAACAATTTACTATGCTTTCATGGTTCAACATCCCGAATATTTACGCGAGATCCCACAATTTACGTGCACCTCACGTAAACTACGCTACAAAAATCTAATTCTCTCAGTAATTATCCACATTAATTTCAAGTTAAATCTTGATTTGGAATGCAAGTTTAAATGCAGGAGTTATTTAAATTCATACGAACAGCTTACTCAGAAATTATGTAAAACCGCAGTGCATTCTCATTAGAATTGACAATTTAACCCTCGACTTTGCCTTTTATATATTTTTGCCTTCGGGTGAGCAGTGTGATTGCATCCTAATTGACTTAATTACGCGAATGGTCTTCAGGCATAAAATTGAACAATCTGGTAAAAATTCTATCTAACTGATTCCAGTATTGAAAGAAACATTCAATCTGATAAGAAATGGCTGCGACTTGTTTTGGAAACGATGCGTAAAAGGTTACCAGTGAGGATATTCCATTTGGCATTAGTTGTACCACTACTGGGGACTCTATCGCCTGCGCCGGCAAAACGGAAAAGTACCAATATTTTTACTAACTGAAAAACTATTCACCAGAGCATATTTTAACTTTTCAAATCACTTGAGATGAAGTAATTTCTCTTATCCCCAATTTACCAAAAGATCAAAGACATTCCAGACTTCAGGATTGAAAACTCAGTTAATACAACTGAAAAAAAAAAGTGTTTAAAAAAAGTCCCCTTCCCCACCTGGAAATTACAAAAGAAAATACCAAGCACACTTACCTAACATTAGCTAAATGCTTTCTACTTTCTGACATCTTCAATTTTTTTTGTTGGTCCTTCTGTCTTTTTTCACTTTTTATTTTTTGCCATCTGAATAAAAAAATTTTTAAAAATATGCAATTTATATGCAGTGTGAAAATTAATAGATCTTATTATGTCAACTGCATAAATTAACATGAAGGTAACAGTTAATAGAATTTTTATAATGTTATCTTAAAGCAGAAAAACAAAAGCTAAGCATAAAAATAAATCTCAATCTAGCGAATACATCACAGACTATACTAAGCAAAAGCAGATATTTCAAAACATGACTGATTAATGGCATTCAGCTACAGTACCACCTCATATTCATTCCAATGAGAGAGAAAATTAAAAAAAAAAAAAAAAAAAAAACTTAAACAGACATCTTACTCTTCAACTGAAAGTGGCTTGAAGTCAGCAGGATCTTCAGGATATGGCTATAAAAAGGAAATATATTGAAAAAATTAGGAACAAAAATACAAAATTCTCATCAATTTTTATTCAAGTTTACTTTACACAAATTTCTAAAAATACTTAAAGTTATAAAAAGAGATTAACAAAATATACCGTTTTGTATAAAGCTGAATAGATATTAATATGCAGGAGCACAGAATTGCATATACCACAAATTATTAATGACATACCACTGCTTTATCAAATTAACTCAAATTCAAAATATATAAAATTAAAATCTCTAGTTAATTAGTATATCAAAATAATTCAGAATATTCCCATAAAAAGCAGTGCGCTATTATTTTTTGCATCTCAGTAAATTTTAAATAATAATTAGTCCAAAGGGATTTGAATCCCGAAGGACTATTAGTTTCGTTTTGGCATTTTGCGTCGGACTCATAAATGTCGGTTCACTTTTCAAACTGTTGCCACAAAATGTTAGAGTCCTGCATTATATTTGAAGAAATTAAATAATGAAAAATCTGCATAAATGTATGTATATTTCTCGTATAGTGATAAAACAACGGTACATAGAGTCATCGAATTTTGAATAACGTAATCCTCCAACGAATATGAGCATGTGGAAGACCAAATTTGAAATTTGAAATTTGTTTTATGATCGATTTCCTATTTTTTAAAGCTTTGACGAATTTTTGATTAACAAACTCAAGGATTTCAAAGCGAGCTATGGCAACGTTGTGCAGAAAAAACATTTTTATCTCCAGCGTGTGAGTCTCTGTATCGGAAATTCTAAAGATATGCTCGTTTTAAAACTATTTTGTGATATTGCTGTTGCACTGGATCTTATGGTTTAAGTGCGAGGAACATGATATTTAATAAAGAAAGGTAACACACAAAATGTTAAAAAACACCCCTTTGGACGTAATTTAAAATCTGAAACATTTCAGATTTTTTTTTTTTTTTGCTTATATGTATATATGGATGGATGTGGATGGATATACACAGACAAGGTAATTCAAAAGTATCTGTCAAAAATGTAGAAACTGTCAGAAAAGATCATGCTCCTTTGCCCTGCTTTTAATCAATTCCCCGCCCCCCCATATTATATCTGCAATTTTTGTTGAATTTCATCAACTTGCTCTCCTAGTGGGATAAATCCTTTACAGATTTTAACCGATTCTGTACTTATTTCCCAAAAGGACATTGTATGTCATTTCTTGAGAAAGGATACACCCACTATTCCTCAGCCACAGTTATTTACTTTTCTGGAAATGGAATGAATGGTAGGAATTCCAACCACTAAGCAATTTCATTTCTTGTATATTTTTAAAATATCCTAAAAATTTGAGCAATAGTTCTTTCTACAGAATCTTGGGGAAACAGTACGATGATTCAATTTTGCTTCTTTACAAAAATGGTGGCAAACATTCATTCATAGAAATTAAATCATAAAGCTAAATTAATCGAGAAATACTTGCAGCATTTGCTAAATAGCTCAATATTTGGAATAATATTTTTGTACCAAAAGGCAGAACCTTAAGAAGTGGTCTTCAGGTTCAGTCTGTTACGTATCAGGAACCTTTGCTAAATAGCATTTTATGCCAAATGCATCACACCCAATGCTTCCTAGCTCTATTTGTTCGGGTCGCCCACTTTGTTTATAAAGTCTGACTGCCTCTTAATACAGCTCACACATAACTCTTTTGTATTGAGAATACCTAAGTAGTCAAGTGAATGATGGCAAGGGCATCACATTAATATATAATACGGCACATCACACTAACATATATAATATTGCAGACTGCTTCCTTGTTCTTACAGCATTTCCTGCATATAGGGTCTTGTTAAAAACGTCTTGTTGAAAGTATGAAGATGTTTTCTGAAATAGTAGTGCCCGTGATGAAGGCCACGATTATTTTTATCTTCAATCTTGAGCACCTAAGTATTTCAGAGGCAATCTTAGCCAAAGGTCTGATAATCACACTTTTAGTATGATTTTGTCCACAAGAATCATACCAAAATTATTCATCTCCTTTTTTTCCCATTTAAGAAGGACATTATTTGCAGTCTTCATACTGATACTACAAAAGCGATACAATACTAAACACCTATTGCATTAAAAGACAATCCTGTAAGTTCAATCTTCCTTTTCATTATCTTCAATTCCCTTAGAGTCATTAGGTATTTTTTTAAAACAGCAGACATGAAAAATTAGCAATGCCCTTGCTGGGACTCGGGACCTTTAGAATATGCACTGAGCATGCTGATCATTACACCAAGAAGGCATGCTAAGAAGGCAGGAGAAATACCTTGTACCCTTAAGTCCAGGTACCCAGAATAGGATTACCTTGTTTCTAGCTGCCAGTTCTCTTGGAAGGTTTCTGCATTCCAAAACAATCTTGGCTTTTATTTGAAATGAGTATAAAGCCTTTCGGGCTGCTTGATTGTCATTGAAAATGAGAATCCGCTTACTGTGGTAGCCTTTTACATTTATTTGCAGACAGTTAGTAATAGCAAGAACCTCTGCCTGAAAAACAGCAAAAGCTCTTCCCGAAACCTGTAAAGAGATTAATTTTGGATGTTTGAAAATGAGTATAAAGCCTTTAGGGCTGCTTGACTGTCACTGAAAATGAGAATCCGCTTGCTGTGGTAGCCTTTTACATTTATTTGTAGACAGTAATAGCAAGAACCTCTGCCTGAAAGACAGTGGCATAAGCCTCTCCCCAAAATCTGTAAAGAGATTAATTTTGGATGTTTGAAATGAGTATAAAGCCTTTAGTGTTGCTTGACTATCATTGAAAATGAGAATCTGCTTACTGTGGTAGCCTTTTACATTTATTTGTAGAGAGTTAGTAATAGTGAGAACCTCTGCCAGAAAGACAGAGGCATAAGCTTCTTCCCAAAACCTGTAAAGAGATTAATTTCAGATGATACTCCATATACTCCCAGTTCTGAAATGTTGCCTTTCTTTGAGCCATCTGTGAACCAGATTAGATCAACAGCGTTTAAACTGAACTTAATTGCCATTCCATTCATCCCTAATGGGATAAGCTACCCCAAATGGCCTGTCAAACATGCAAATCATTTCCATGATGTCGGAAGGCATCAGGAAGGCATACCATTGATTTTGCAGCATCATTCATTTTATATGCAGTCATTTTAGCAAAACTGCAAATGAAGATGTCCAAGGGATCCAGACATAATACAATCTCTAACGCTCTGGTAGGTGCTGAGGGCACTGCACCTGTGATACTCAATCTTTGCATCTACCCTGTCCTTCAAAGTTCTCTGCTCCTCATTGCACCACCAGATCACAGAGACGTAAGTAATAATAGAAGTGACAGCTTAAGAACAGCATATAAAAAGGAAATAAAGCCAATGTTAAACTTTCATGAAGTTAAAACAACGGTTCTTATACTTCTTCAAACAAGTACCCATATCAGGTGTCATGTTAAAAGAAAAGATACTTGAAATAATGCAAGAATTTGGAAACTAAGAATTTTTAGGTAGTAACGACTGACAAAGATTTAAGGAAAGACACAGACAAATATTTTAAAACAATCTATGGAGAATCAACATCAATGAGTACATTTCAGAGAAGAATAGAAAATGGTTATAAGGTTTTATATTAATATTTACTATTTACTTTTGTCAACAACCAATAGAATGCTAATTAATTAAAGTAAGTATATCTATTATCACACTGAGAGAGACAAATGTTGCTAACTAGTTACTCTGCTACATCTTCCTGCAGTTTGACTTGATTCACTGGCTTTTGCTTCAAACCACATTTGATTCATGAATACTTAGGGCAAAGGCTTACTTAGACATGTGTTATCTGTATTTCCCATTGACTTATTTCACACAAGCAAAACATTTGATTTTTGTCATACGTCTCAGTTTTATATAACTGTCACAGTGATGTAAGCACATTGATATTGAAACTTCACTTTCAATTGTAATTACTGCAGCTAGAAGGCAAACGGGATGATTATCTTTACGGTGGCAGTAGATTAGCACTTAACAGTAGTGCAGAACCATACAGTAATGTTCAGCTAACTAGTCTTAATAAATACAGTCAAAAGTCGTTAATTCGGACACCCATAATTCGGAATGATCTATAATCCGGACCTCAAAACTAAAAACTTTCTGCGCATGCGGCGCGTTGACACATGCGCATACGCATGCGCGTAAGACCTTTTACGACTGCGCATATCAGTATGTGCAAGTGCAGAATATGTTTTCGCGTGCGCGTTTTATGTATAATGGACATATAAGCTAAAATTATCTAATTATCTATTTCAGTTAATGTTGATGATTGCATTGTTCCTTAATTTTCGAATTGAATCCCGCTTATTATTTTTTGCAGACTGTAAGAGCAATTTTATAAAAGTAAGCTTAAACTTTCGATTATATCAAATAGAATTTCCGATATATATTTGTTAATATGTAAAGGATCTAAAGCGAAAGTATGTTTTGAAATCCGAAATCTGTTTATCAATTTCACACTGCTCGGCGGGGGGATCGCCGCGGCGGGCACATAATGAATTGGAAGTTGATCTGTCAGCACTATCCTTATCTTCAGCGCAGATGTTTTTTTATTTATTTGGCTTATAATTCCTTACCAAATGTAGTATTTCATCTCGATATGCTCCGTCTTGATATGATTTAAAAACAAGTTCCTCGTCATTATAATTCGCTTTCGATAGCGAAGAAAGTGACAGAGGTTATTGAAAACGAAAAAATTTTCGATTGACAAATTAGTCGGTGTTTCTCGACACAAGCAATTATAGGACTTGAACAGCGGAACTTTGTAACTGAACAAGAAATTATGTCTGTTTATAGAATTAAAGAGAATGTATTATCACATAAAAAACGAAACAACTTACATTGAAAGAAATGTTTAATAAAGTAAACAAATAAATATTAAGCTTTTTTTTTTTTTGTTTGTTTGTTTGTAACTTTTGATACCCTTTAGATCAAAACTGTTCTTTACTTCATAAATTACGGTTTCATATTTTTAATTTTAGAATTTCTGCATGCCATCTTACGAGATTTAAACTGATGATCTATAATCCGGAAAATCGATAATCCGGAATCGCCGAAGTCCCGACAAGTCCGGATTAACGACTTTTGACTGTATGTTATTACATAAAGCCAAAGAATCATCAAAGTAACTATTAAAGTATTTACATAAAAATAATCAATCCTGAATTATTAATTTCATTGCAATTTAAAAAGTTAACAAGTATAAATGCAACAAGCAGTATAAGATGAGGTATTAGACAATTCAAAATTAATGAAATACTAGAATGACAGTTTAGTATGATTTTATGTGTTTGTTAGCTAATATCAACAGTATAAATTAATTTTTCAGCTATAATACTATAAATATACAAAAATACTTCAAAAATGTAAATACATTTTAAAAAGTAAGACTAGGATTAAATTTGCAGAATGAAACAGATAAACTTTCCTTTCTCATACATTTATAAGGCCTGAAAGTAAGATTTGACAGACTTATCTATAAAATTACAATTGTCAACTTACAGTCCTTAAGAAAATATTTTATATATCACTAAACCATAAAATATAGTCAAACCTCACTGTAATATCACCTAGATAAACAGCCATTCTGCTTGCAGTCAAGTTGTAAAAAACACCAGCTAAATATACAGCCCTGAATTTATTGCACACATCAGATTTAATATGAATGTCATTAATTAGGTCACTTTAGCTTATGCTGATTCATCACTTGTGTCACACATATTTTTAAGTTCCCAGACATTTTCCTGTTAATGAAACAATCTTTATCCTATTATTAATGGTTGCTATTTTTTGATATATTTTTCTCTTCTTTATATTATTCATCTACTTTTCTTCACTGAAAGAACAAGAAAAAGGAAGAATGATTCAGAGAAAAAGCATTATTTTAAACTTGTTCTTATATTCCACATTCCCCAACTAATTTGAAATGAATCTCATTGCTTAAAATGACAGAATACAGACTAAACTAAAAAAAGAGGCAGAGAACTTCACTAATGCAATTTGCAAGGACTTGTGGAATTTCAGAGAACTTACTATGACAAAATTTTAGACCAGAATCTTTGATATGTTAGCAAATTAAAAGGAAAAAAAACAATAATGTTATGATTTTATACAATGTAATAAGAACAGCCTCAAGAAAAACGAAACTTTCCTGGAAGTGATCTTGTATACTTAAAATCAACTGAACTAGCTTTTTTACAAAACATTACAAATATTTTATACCACAGGACCAAAGTGTGATTAAAAATCTCAATAATAAAGTTTCTTGTTAAAAATTTAATCAAAAAAAAAAAAAAAAAAAAAAAAAAAGAAAAGGAAAGAGGGGGAAAGAAAACTGCCTCAGATGCAATATTTTACACCAATATGAAAAAAAATAGCTTTACAGTGCACTTAAAATTATTTTAAACATGCTTGCTAAATATACTTTCTTACTGGACCCTTCACAGGAACATAATGAATATAATCCTCTTCCCACATGGGTTCATCACCTTTAAATGAAAAAATCTGATGTCTCAGATGAATTAATATTTGCAAGTGTACATAATGTAGCTTTCACTTGACAAATGTGTTAATTCAGATATTGTTTAAGTAAATACCACTCCTAATTATATTTTGCAGATAGGTTTCATTATAGACACAAGCAACAACAACTGCTGTTGCTGATGGTGAAGATGAGAATGATGATAACTGCAAAGAAAAAGCTACAGTATTTAAAATTTACATACTAAGGATATGAGACATTGTAAGATGATTATTAGTGACAACTTCTGATCTACTAATGAATATTTCAAAACTTAACAATTTAGCTAACGAACTTTTGAAATTGAAAGAAAAACAAATCACATAATACTGTTTTGTCAAATAAAAACTGCTCCTGATTTGACAAAAATTTTTGCTTTATGATGTACACTGCGCAAAAAAAGGGGGGAGGAAGGGGACTGTTCTATATCTCCCGTTCTACTGGCCTGAATGACAAAATTCAAATTGTGTTTTCTATATCTCGAAAGTGTGACTTAAAATACGAATATGTAGCCATTTTTTTCACCATATTTAGATTCTATGACTCAAATTATGTTAGCTCCTCATTGTTAACTGAATTTGATATATATTTCTTAATATCTCTTTTTTTTATTAAACTTGATTCCTCCTTTCACATTTCAAAATGTAGGTTCATTCCAAGTAAAATTTGTCCATTTTTTATGATTTACTTTTAAAATTTGTGTTTTAAAATAATTTTTATAAATTTTTTGAAAAAAATTTTGAATTATGACAAAGTAGATGTATTTCTAAGACTACCTGCAAAAATTAGTTTTTTTATTCAAAATTTCCAAAATATACGTGAATTTATATATTGGTGCATTTTGAAATTTGGCATATTTGTTTAAAGCAATAATAACATCAAATGTGGTTTAGACACTTTGAAAGTTGGAACAATGTAACTTTTTTCCCGCCTCTGCATAATGGAAGGGAAAGGAAAATAGGTTGCCATATACAGTACAAAGTCTTTAATCTGGACTCGTCGGGACTTCAGCGATTCCGGATTAGGGGATTTTCCGGATGATAAATCATCAATTTAAATCTGGTAAGATGGCATGCAGAAATTATAAAATTAAAAATATAAAACCATAATTTATAAAATAAAGAGCAAATGTGATCTAAAGGGTATCAAAATTTACAAAAAAAAAAAAAGCTTAATATTTGTTTACTTTATTAAACATTTCTTTCAACGTAAGTTGTTTAAGTTGCTTTGTTTTATGTGCTAATACTTTCTCTATAATTCTATAAACAGACATAATTTCTTGTTCAGTTACAAAGTTCTGCTGTTCAAGTCCTGTAATTGCTGTGCCAAGAATGACGACTAACTCGCCAATCGAAATTTTTTCGTTTTCACTAACCTCTGTGTCACTTTCTTCATGCCTTTAACCATTTTTTGCTGCAATTCCACTTTTTGTTATGGACATCGAAATACCCTTTCGCTTTGTAGATCCTTTGGCAGATCCAGAATCGGAAACTCTTTTTGACATAATCGAAAGTTCAAGCTTATTTTTTATACAATTGCTCTAACAGTCTGCAAAAAATAATAAGCCGGATCTAATTAGAAGATTAAGGAACAAAGCAATCTGCAACATTAACTGAAATAGATAATTAGATAATTTTAGCCTAGCTTATACCGTCCATTATACATTAAATGCATATGCGCATGCATAAAGGTATGCGCATGTATAAAGGTATTATGCGCATGTGTAAATGCGCATGCGTAAATGCATATGCGTAAACGCTACGCATGTGCATATGCATTTATGTTTGTAGCATTGAGGTCCAGATTATAGATCATTCCGGATTCTGGACATCCTGATTAAAGACTTTGTACTGTATTAAGAAGTTCACCATGAGAATTATTCTTGGCGTAAACTGAAAAAAATATGCCAAGCTAAATTTTTAATTTCTCCATAAATGTTGCACCAAATTTTACAAAATTTTATATTTAGGCATAATTTGTGTCGTACAAATGAAACAGGGAAAAAATTGATATGATATGTTATTTCAGAAAAAGTCCCATTTTATGTCAAAATACCTATGTTAGAACATATGTAAATCTAATATATATCCTAAATCACACTTTTGAGACATGAAAAACGCAATTTGAATTTCATCAATCGGCCCAGTAGAACGGAAGATATAGAAATGCCCCCCTTTTTTTCTTGTGCAGTGTACACAACAAAAACGTGTAAATAATTTTAGCCGTTATTTTTATTTTATTCACACTAATTATATTTAATTATATGCAAGAAAAAATGTAGATAAGAATATTTTTAAACACTGCTTTTCTTCTCAATATTCTTGCTTAAGTTTATAATTACAACATTTCAAGTTTTACCCACAAAATTCAGCTTATAAGATTACTTTTGATGAGTCCTTAAAAGGATAGAATCACTTTCGAGAAGTTTTCAAGTGAAATCTGACTGTCTAAGGAGATACAAATAAAATTTTTAGAATAATGATTAGGCCCAATAAAAATTTACCTTTCGACAGGCAGGACAAAGACCATTTTCATCTGTTCTAATTCGATGCCAACAAAAGCGGCAAATCTGGAAAGAGAAAATGCTTTAATAAGCAGTAAAATGACATTTTCAGATTAATTTTAACTATAAAAACAAGCAAGAAAAAGAAATTCAAAACAATTAATAGATACCTGATAGCCACATGTGCAAGGGAAAAAATTAAAGTCATCCATTTCAAATGGCTCCATGCATAAGGGACACTAAGAAAGAAACATCGATTTGATTTACAATGCCATTGAAGAAGAGTACATCAATATATGCAAACAACAAATAAAAAAATATCGGTAGTTAGGAAACATGCTGTTTTAAAAAATAATACATTGAATATGTTAAAACTACAATAAAATATACCAGAATTTCTGCAAGACATTTACCAGAAAAAGACAGATATAACTTACATGTTGAAAACAGACAGAAGACTAAATGAATTAATAAAAAATAAGAAAGCTTTCAAGACCCAATTTATTGCCTTTTATTTTTTTAATTTATTACATTCATTTACAGCAGATAAATACACTTGATGTGGGAAAAAGTATTTAATAGACATATTTTTCAGTTAATAACGGATACGCCATAATTCACACATTAATATAAGCAGAAATTTCATCTAACAAAATAAATAATGAAAGTATACATTTACATAACTCGGACAGTTTAAAACATTAATGATAATATCTATCACCTTACCTCAAGATTTTGATCATTGTGGAGTGACATAATGAAAAAAATATACTAGATTTATCACTGGTCTGAAAAATGAAAATAATTTGATTAAAGTTTACAATTTACATCAAGCACAGTGAAAGATTCAGATAGATATAATTATAATTAACAGATAATTTTAGCAAAATATAGTTCAGTGAAATAAGTGACTATTATTCTTATTCATTAAATTACTAAATTCGGTACTTTTCCATTTTGCCAGCGCAGGCAATAAACTCGCCAATAATAGTACAACTGATGCCAAATGGAATATTCTCACTGGTAACCTTTTACGCATCATTTATAAAACAAATCGCAGCCATTTCTTATCAGATTGATTGTTTTTTTTCAATACTGGCATAAAATTACATAGAATTTTTATCAGGTTCAATTTTATACCCTAAGTCAATAAGGATGCAATCATACACTCACCCGAAGGCAAAAATATAGAAAAGGGTTAAATTCATCAATTCTAATGACAATACACTAGCGAAGCAAAGCACTGCGGTTTTAATTTCTGAGTAAGCTATTCATACGAATTGAAATAATTCTTGCATTTAAACTTGTATTCCAAACTAAGATTTAACTTGAAATTAATGTAGATAATTACCAAGAGCATTAGATTTTTGTAGCGTAGTTTACGCGAGATGAGATCACTTGGGGGTCACATGATATGAACCGGCGAATCAGGATGTTGAACCATGAAAGCATAGTAAATTCATGTCTTTTTACAAATTTATTGTTTTTTTTACAAAATTTTAAATGATATTCAAATGTTTATTCCTTCAAAATAAAAAAAATTTAGAACTAACATTTTTTATGTGTATATTGTATGTTGTTGCCAAAAAAGTCTGCTTGGCAAGATTTGCTCTGGCGAAACGGAAAAGTACTCCTAGTTATTCTTATTTAATTATTTTAAAATTTATTTTATTATTCTTATTTGCCATGCTCTTTCCCATCATATTCTAAAACTGTCACATTATTTATTAAATTAGATACAACATTATAACTAAATGACATTTCATATCTTGGCAAGAATATTATGCATATCTTAATATTTATAAAGTCCTTCTTTTTTATAAACTATTAAACAAGCCCTTTTCTATTACTCCTTTTAATTTTCCCGCTTGGAAATCATGCACATAGTTATAGTTATCTCAGCAATAAATGAAACAGTTAATACAAGACATAAAAGAGTAAAATTTGACACGTTAAAAAAAGAAATAATATGCATACAGAAAATATTTTAAAACATTACTTTACATGCCTGCCTCTTATTTTAGAATAACTAATGCTTCATAAACTTGATTATGAGATTCTATGAACCTTAAAATGCTTAATTATTTTCTAATGTTCAATGCATCTTTGGCAATATGATAAGGCAAATACATATATTTTTTTTTTAAAAAAAAAGTCCATTTACATTTAAATCTCAAAGTTACAACCACCGAAAAAATTTACTTAACATTTCTTCCAAGTGATCATTCTTTCACCTTCTTGCCCCAAAATACATACATTTATCCTCACAAACAAGTCAGAATGTATGTGTGAGAGAGACTACTGATATTAAAAAATAGATTTATAATGAAACACACTGAATTTGATCATATGGATTTTAATAAAAGGTACCTAAAAACTATATGGTTTTGAGTTCCAATTTAAATTTTGTAGTAAAATTACTCTACTTGAATTTACAGTCAGGTTCAGTGACATGCTCGATCACCAGGCAATGATATGCAATCTGTGTTAGAAAACAAAACTGCTCTGGTTCTGCAAGTATATCAGTGACTTGCACACAAAATTTTTATGCAAGATGACGACACTCTTCCACACAGTTCACGTTGTTTTATGAATGCCGGCACTTT